CCATCAAAAAGTCATTTTTGATGCTTATCGTCTCTAAATTGACTAGCCCTGATCTACGGGCGTTACAAGCTAGGATCCAAGAACTACTCATTGAGATTGAAAGGTTTAAGAAGATGTTAAAAAAGGTTGTTTTGATTGCTCTGGTCTGCTTGTTGTTTGTGGTCATGTACTTTAAGTTGTAGTTGTTGATGTAAGATGTTGAGTCATGGTGTATAGGTGATGGTCTTTTGGGTGATTAGATATGGGGATGTTCTTTTGGGATGGTCTTTTGGATGGTCTTTTGGGTGATTAGATAGCTGGAAATCAAGTTAAAGCTCTTGTAAGTGATGCATGGTGTATAGTGTTGTTTGATGGTGTAATGGTGGTATTCCTTTTGACAATTTAGTATAGGCAATGTACTTTAGCCCCATTACGAATGGTCATGTAACACCTTTTGTATGGACTAATTTTATAATAGAAAACATGGATTCTATTCTATTTTAACTGCTCTTTATGGTTTCCTTGATAGTATACTGCATGAATTGTTATAGTGCATGAATTTTTATATAATATCATGCATGAGTTGTTATATGGTCCACAAACAAATTCCAATAAATAGCATGGTCCACATAACAATTCCAGGAGGGACAAGAAACAAGGGACCACATCTTATGCATAAAAATGACACAAAGGACACTGGATCCCACAATATAATATATTAATAACCAAAGTGAGTGTCATACATTACATAACAATTCCGACATAGAAGCAAACATCCTAACATGTTTTTAATACATAATAAAAGAAACATCCCATGCAGTTCCCATGCAAAAACTACATTAAGTTGACAGGTTTTTCTGAAGTGCTACCCTCTCCATCCTTTCCTATAACTTGGGTTGCCAATTTTTTCTTGATGATCCTTTCACTTTTTTTCCTCCTCTTAAGCTGGGGAATTACAACATTACCCCTCTGCCTTGTCACTTGTGTAGTCCCACTTTCCCTAGTACCTTGTGTATCCCCACATTCCATTCTTGTCCTACTTCCACTTGCCTCTTCTGCAGTCCTTTTCTTCACATTTTCACCCTATTAAATGAAACATAATTAATAACAAATAAAAAAATTAATAAGTAAGAGTTTGTATATACCTTTGTTGTCTTAGTCTTCTTAACCCTACTTGCATGTGTATCCCCACCATCCATTCCTGTCCTACTACCACTTGCCACTTTTACAGTCATTTTCTTCACATTTTCACCCTTTTAAATGAAACATAGTTAATAACAAATAAAAAATTAATAAATAAGAATTTTTATTTACCTTTGGTGCCTTAGTCTTGTTAACCCTAGTTGGTAACTTGTTTGGTCTTGATCTATCAACATTTGGACATGTCTTCTTATTATGTCATTCCACTTTGCACAAACTACATGATATCTTCTTACCCTTCTTAGAAACTCTCTGCTTTCCACCCTTCTCACTGACATCTCTAACTCTTTTAGTTTTTGTCCTACCAGGCAACCTTCTATTCTTGGGGGGTAGAGGTGGAATGTAATTAGTTTCAGGCCACATCTTGCTTCCATTCATTGGACAAATTTTGTACTGGTAGGTCTTCATATACATTTCTCTACAAAAATAAGGATCCACATATTTCTCAACATCTTTATTGAGGTAGCTAATTGCAACCACATAATGAACACACCCATAACCATTAAGTTGCCACATCATGCATGAACATGTCCTCTTCTCTAAGTCAACATCATATGCCTCACTTCTTGACCTAGTCTCAAACTGGTTGAGTCCACTTGGAAATACCTCCCAAAACCTTTGATTAATATTTAACTCATTCAACCTCAGCCTTATTTCAGGTGAAACATCACTTGACCATCCATTAACTTTTGCAGTGAACAACTTGTTCATCGTATACATTCTCAATTCTTCAAGCATTATGATGATAGGTTTCTTCCTGGCTTCAACTATGAATGCATTGAAACTTTCACATCCTCCATTCTCAATACTAGAACAGCATCTACCTACTTGATAGTAAGCTCTTGACCATGTTCTAGGGTCCTTCTCTATCAAGTAGTTACCTGCCTCTGGACTCATAAGCTCGATATCCTTCATTATTTCCTTGAAAGATTGTCCTGTTGTTGCATTACATGCAGACCAAAACTTGTTAACAAAATGTGCCCCTGGAAACCTTTTACTGAAGTTGGCCACAATGTGCCTTGCACATTGCCTATGCTCAGCTTGTGGTAACAATTCCTTTCCATAAGACCCTATACCAACATACAAGTAGTTAGAAATGAATTGGGTAATATACTTTGTGAAAGAGAAATATAAAAATGTTTTGCTTACTTTATGTTGGTCTGACATAAGAGTTAAACCTTCTCCCATACCAATATTGAGATCATCACTTAACAATGACAGAAACCATTCCCAGTTTTCCTTGTTTTCAACACATACCACTGCCCAGGCAATTGGGTATATTTGGTCCCTAGCATCTCTCCCCACAACACAAAGCAACTCACCAGTAACATACCCTTTCAAGAAGCAACCATCAATTCCAATCACCTTCATGCACCCTTCTAACCACCCCTTCTTTACACCATCAAAACAAACATAAAACTTACTAAAGTGATTAGTTCCATCTGGCATTGTAAGAACATCCATGTTGACTGTTGAACCAGGGTTGGATCTTCTAATTTCCTCTCCATAAGACTAGAGCTTAGCATAATGCTCAATAAGGGTACCTTCTAGGGTTGTTCACTATTTGGATAAAACCGAACAGTCCAATTAGATAATTTTGATTGAACTATTTGGTTCGGATATTCGGATTTTTGGATTGGTTTTCAACAAAACCGGATTATTATTTTGGATTTCGGATTGGTTTT